TGGTTGTTGACTCTCTAGGTGAAATTATTGCTGATGAAAATGGAAGCGTGGCATGGAGGCAGGCGTGGTGTGGCATGGCACTGAGGCAAACGCGGCATGGCGCTGAGGCAGGCATGGTGTGGTGTGGTGTGGTGTGGTGTGGTGTGGCATGGAGGCAGGCGCGGAGGGACTGGCAGGCATGTGAATGTGTGCATGTGGGCATGTGGGCAGGCCGAACTGTGGCCGCCCATCGCCACTGCTGCTGTCACCATGCTGGTGCTACCACAGTCACAGTTGATGCTGCCACCATTGAAGCCTAAAGTGAAACACAAAAATAAAATAAATAACATAAAAACAATGTACCAAACGGCATACTGTAAGCATGCTTGGTGCGTTGAGGCAGAGTTGAGTTCTGAGAACAGACAGATTTATTGAAGTTGAGTCGGGTCGGTGGAGATCAGATGTGGTTCGGTTGTCCATGTTGCTTCCAAGATATGTTCATTGTCCAGATGGTCCGAGAGCATGAGCGAGAGGGAGAAAAAGAGAAAAAGGGAATGGGATAAAATAAAACAAGATGAGATGATGGAGACACAAGTTGGCATGGCAGCGCGGTAAAGCGTTCAAAGTCAGCTTGCCAGGGAGAGACGAAGTCAAAAGAGCCACACGAGAGCCCATGAAAAAGAGAAGAAAGGAGGAGGATCGATTGGTCAAGACTGCCTGCCTCTACATGAGGAATAAAGGTAAATAATGGAATAATGGACGTATGAATTTCATTATCTACAGATCTCCAGTGCAAGCAGGATGACCTAGAGAGGGCAATGGCTGCGAGTTCGGAATTCTGGCGGAATGGGTCCTAGAGATGCTTGGACGCTGGCTTGATCAAAAAATCTTGTCAGAGGCTTGGGCAATGTGGGTGTTCTTCAATGCATGGTTGTTTTTGGGGTGACGAGCGGGAATCAGGAGTTGAGAGGAAGAGGTGGTGGGAGACGGAGGACAAGTCGAACGTGTGGTGAGGGCTGACAAATCAATGCAGTGCACCGCACTGAGGCTGAGGCCGAGCAGTGGTGGGGCCTTATCTAGCAAAAAGAGCATATGACGGGGATTGCCATGATGGCTTAGTGGTTAGGTCACATGTGTTATGTTCTCCACACCTGAGGAGGTCACAGGCTCAAACCACACTTGACATGCAAAAAACACGTGACTGTGGGTACGGGTTCCATGCAGCTTGTGCACTTCAGCCACTTGTATAGCTTGTTGGTCCTACTTGTCGTACTTGTCCACTTGTGACCATAAGATGGTAAATGCACTTGTGGTAAATTCTAGGTTACTTGTGAGCTTGTTGGCTTTTCCACTTGTACAAGTTGATACAAGTTTGTGGCAGGTTTCCTGATGAACCGACGACTCTTCTCTCACAGTTGGATGTAGTTGCAACTCAGCTCAGCTCAACTCAGCTCTGGAACAACAGCACCCATGTTCGTGGCACTCCACGAACTGCACTATGATAAGACGAACGTGTGATTGATAGGCATAACTCCGGCAGTATTATAACCGAAGATCGGCAGCATAGACACGATTATGGTGTGTACGCGTTCACGTCCTCATTCCGCGGCGATAAAGGAAATTAACGGAAGTATCTCCAGTCTTCTCAATACCGACTCGCGGTCGAGGAGGCGCGGAATAGATCTCTCAGTTGTCGTCTGGCAACGTCCTCGAGGCCTCTGCGCACCGGTCAGGCAACCTTGTATCCGAATGGGGTATACTACGTCTTCGCCTCGGCCCTTGACTTCGATTAACGATAATAGCACGATGAACAGTATTCGTAATATTCCTTCCAAGTCCATGGTTTAAGAACAGGAGCTCAACATGGGGATACGTGCTTGCCCCCCGCGGATAACCTCTGGCTCCTGCAAGATTCGTGTATCCACCTTGGTTGACCTGACGATTGTCTCGGGCATTTCTTTTTCTTCCCTAGCTCACGAGACATGGAGGAACCGACAGAGACGATGTGCTGCCAGTGCAATCCTGAGCTAGCCAAATTTGACGAGGGAGACCCAGAATATCCCATAAACTGGACGCGACGCAAGAAATACGCTGTGAATACGATTGTATGCCTACTATCCCTTATCTCGTAAGTCTTGCGGGACGCCTTCTTTCCACCATCTCACGCCCCTTGTAAGGACCATGGGAACTTCCAGTTATGTACGTCTCTGTGATCATTTTAAAGGTCAAGAATACCGAAAATGCCACACAGGCTGCTGGGCAACCGTATCTTATGTACAAGTACAACATAAGCACCGACTTGGCAAGTTCAGGACTTAGTCTTAATGTCTTTGGAATGGCCATGGGTCCGTTAATATGTGCGTATTACTAGCACGGTCATTAGCACTGTCACCTAAACCGTGGCGATTTTTACAGGGGGTAATTTGCAGTCCAGTACAACGACCTTTTTGGTTCGCTTAGAGACTTTTCACAGGCCCACTTTCTGAGCTTTACGGCCGGAAGCTTCCTTATCTGCTCTCTTGGCCTCTTCTGATCGGTATGGGCCATCGCAAGATATCAATTTGTTTCGTGTTCTAAAAGACATCATTGCACGACCTGTGTCTCAGGGCTCACTGCACCATGTGCCTTTGTGGATAATATCATTGTCATCCTTATATGTAAGTGCGGCACAATTATAGGCGCCAGCCATGACCATGTTATGTGCTGCAGTCCGCTTCTTCACCGGCTGTTGTATTGGAAACGCTATCAACAAGTAGGCATTGTCTCTAAATGCTTTCCGCACTGCTCTGAATTTCGAATAGCGGCGCAGGTGTCATATCCGAGTATGTTTTTTATGGTCCTACCCGTCCGATGTCGTGCTGACTATGCTGCCTGTGGTGAAGTCTTTATCAGAACGATGCCGCTGCCCGAGCAAAGTGTTTGTCTCCCCTGTCTTTGTTAGATGTTGAGCTTATCACGATCTTGCACGTTAGCCGTCGCGATTTTGTAAGTGACGGTGTTACCTTTCGTCCAAACAACGCGACACTGATACTTGTCCACATCTCCAGTGTCTTCTGTGGTATATCGGGCCCCTGCTATGGCTCATTCATGGGCTTCTTTGTAGCCTCAGCTGGATGGCCAGGGTATGACATCCCCCCTTCCTCCCTGTCATGTCCTTCATGTACTTTACGTGGATATTACAGGTTTTGGGTTTTGCGCATGCACCTTTTTCTCTGTCTCGCCTGCTTTCCGCTCGTCTTTATACTTCCGGAAACCCATGGCCCAACTATCCTCAAAAGGCGTGCCCACACACTGCGTATAAAGGGAAATATCCATGCCTTTTCACACGAGGAACTCGAGCACGCGACTTTCGGAGATATCGTTCAAATACACCTCCTACGCCCACTCAGTGAGTTGGTCTATGATATGACGACGTATGTTGGACTGACGCAAAGACAAGAGATGCTCATGTTCGAACCAATAAGCCAAGGTTCGGCCCTTTGGATAGGGTTGGCATATGGAATAATGTAGTACGTCGATGTTCTGAGCAAGTGCACGTAGCACTTGTCTGATGGCAGCGCCCAAAGCTTCTTCTTCGAGGTGTACCCGATTGTGTTCATTGAGCAGGTAAGTCGGCTTCTCTGAACACTTGCGGTCTTTCCTGACATGCATCAGCACAACATACCTTTCCGCTATTGCGGAGCTATGTTTCTTTTTATTCCTGTGGGAATGCTCATGGCCGTTGTGCTATATCCATGCCTCATTAAACTATTCGCCCGCCTTCCCTTGCCTGGAATCAAGCCGAAAGGTCGGAGGCTAAACGAGGCTGAGCGGCGCCTAACGGTCGTTATACCTGCGTGGTACGCGATCTACTTTTCTCTCTAGCTTTGATGAGGAGGTCATTATTATCAGCGTCGCCATGCCAATCTCGTTACTTTGGCTGGGGTGGTACGTAACATAGAGTCCATCATAATGCCCGCGCCTCATAGCCCTTCGTAGGACGAGCGGACCCGAGACGCATTGGTTTATCCCGGCGCTCGCAGGTGTCCTATTCGGCTACTCCTTGATGGGAATTTTTATTTCTTTATTCGCATAGTATGCCCTTTCCTCTCCTTGGTTTCATCATTATTGCTAACGGAGGCGACTCGGATTTTTTAGCATGACGCATATATACTCCATATACTCCTCGAGCGCAGCCGCAGCCAATACCCTCGCGCGATCGATATTTGGAGCTATATTCCCTATTGTAACCCGTAGCATCATCAACGCAATAGGCACGAAATGGGGCTGTTAGTCAACACCTTTCCTCTGCACGATTTCATCGTTAACCGTCTTGGTTCTCTTACGTCCTCCCGTCAGTGTCCATTTTTGCATTCATATCGGTCGGATTGCTTCCGATTCCGCTGATCTTCATCCGGTACGGCAAGGGGCTTCGTGCTCGCTCACGCTACGGTCAAGAGGCCAGAGAGGTGATAGTGCGGATGAGCATAGTGGAAGTGGTTGGTGGAGACTTTGTTCGCGTGACTGTGGCGCGCGCAACGAAGAAAAAAGAGGTCGCGCGAGGAGTACAAGACGAAGAGAAAGGTTTAGACGAAGAGGAGATTGAAAGCTCAAGAGAGGAAGGCCTAGAGGAGATTGAAAGCTCGAGAGAGGAGGGCCTAGAGGAGATTGAAAGCTCGAGAGAGGGAGGCCTAGATTCAGGGAGGAATGAAGAGGACTTAGAGCAGCAGGCGGGCGTTCAAGATCAAGAACTTGGCTATGTTGACGAATGATGTGTTTTTGATCCCCTTCAGCCCCGAGTTGTAGATAATGTGGCACTCGGTGGTTGAACCAACCTATTGACAAATGAAGAATCATGTAGACACTGGGATTGCCGAGAACTGACCTGGACTAACAGCCAAATCGGCCAGAGGGAACAGAGTGGCGTTTGAGCACCGGGCACCGAATCACTCACGCATCATCAGGCTCCTCTTGGTGGTGGTGAGTGATCGAGATTAGTATTGCGAAGAAAAAAATTGGGGACGCCTCGAAATAAAAAAGCGTGGACGAAGTGGGGTTTGAACCCACGACCTCATGCAACGAAGTCACTACATTATCATGAGCATGCGAAGCAAGCGCGCTACCACTGTGCCATCCGCCCGTCCCTTTACAGACTCTCCGTAAAGCCTACCTGCTGTCTGGCTCAGAAGACCGTCGCTCGCAAGAGCACAAGCGTTTCGATCTCACTGAATTACGAGCCGCTCCGACCGCTTTCAAGACGGCTTTGGCCTGTCTTTATTAAAACCGAGGATAATGATATCGTCGTTTGTTAGATTGGGGCATGAAAGCGGGAAGCGAGCAGTAGCAGGTGTTGTAATTTTAGGGTAGAGTAGCGAATTATGACTCGACGGTGCCAGTGGATGGCCTGTTTTGGACTCCTTTAAGACGCGTGAGGCGCGGTGACACCCTACACCGTCGTCATTGCCCCTCGCCGGCCACACCATGTCCTCCCCACCCACAAATCGGCGTTTCCCTGGCCGCTCTCTCTCTACCTCACGCTCCATCTCCCAATCCGTCTATGGTCCTACCGCAACCTCCCGCCCGTTCCTCAACATGCTCAATCCACTTGGTCGTGCATATCAAGGTTATACAGCCGCCAACCAGTCCGTTCTCGAAGAGGACGATGACATCGCGTCACCCAGGCATGAACATATCGACCTTGAGGCGCAGGCCCGCCCGACTGTGATATCCCAGGCCACTCTCGCGACTTCGACCCACATGCAGCGCCTCTCCCGCGGTGCCCCCGAGCCAGGTATGCTCCGGCCCAACGTTCGCGAGGACGATCGCATAGAGGAGGAGTCAGAGTCCGACGGCGAGGTCCCACAGAGCTTCCTTATCGAGTCGCCTGCCTCGCGCTCGCGCCGTGCGCCGCTATCGCGCAACGGTCGCGCACGCGACACACGCCACGCACCGAAACCCGCAGCTCCCGTTGATGCTCCGCGGATATCTGTTCCTCCACGCCCTTCGGAAATCAATGTAGAACATCCTCCCGGTCGATCCCCGTCTACGGCTCCGTTACCCAATCCGAAGCGCGGTCTGGATGCGTATGAGCGTGCGCTCTGGAACTGGGTCAACGTGTACAACCTCGATGCATTTCTTCAGGACGTGTACCTGTACTACCATGGGAAGGGGATATATTCTATCGCCCTCAAGCGAGGGCTGAACCTTCTGTGGGTGCCCCCTCGCGTCTCAGAGAGATCCGTCGCTAATGCCTAGGCCAGCACAGTCGGGTTCGTCATCGCCTTCTCGACATTCCTTCTTCGCTGTGTGGATTATTCGCTCATCCATCCTGATCGAGTCATACGATTATCCGATATTCTTGTCGAGCGCTGTGTCTCCAGGTGTGCCCCTCCTCGGCCTGACCACACGCATGACATCTCTCACACCGTTTCTTCGCAGATTCTCGGGGTTTACGCTGCTCTTCTTTCTCCTGTTTTGCGCCTTCTACGTGTGGCAAATTGCTTTGTTTGTCTTGAGTATAATGCGTCTCGTGGATATGTACCACTTTTATACCTACCTCCTTCAAATACCCGACGTGCGCCTCTTATCGATATGTCGCTGCTCATCTCCCGACCTCTTTTCAGGAAGATATCCAGACCATCGCCTGGCCTGAAGTTGTCCGACGGATCGGCGCTATCCGCAACTCCAACCCACTTACCGAACTCTCTTCGTCTTCATCCCGCCCACGCGCCAGCGAAGGCGCTAAACTAGACGCACACGATGTCGCCAATCGTATCATGCGGCAAGAAAACTACCTCATCGCACTTTTCAACAAAGATCTCCTTGACCTGCGCGTGCCTTTTCAGCGCACGTGGCTCACAGAGGATGGCAAGGGTCGGACGCTTACGCGCGCCCTGGAATGGAATCTTCAATTTTGTCTGATGGAATATCTGTTTGACAAAAGGGGACGAGTGAGGAAAGTATTCCTGAAGAGCAAGAACCGAACTGCATTGATTGATGGGTGCGTAGTTTGTCAAGCCCTACCACCGCCGTGGTTGATGTAGGTTTGCAGGCTAAGGAGGCGTTTCATCTTCATGGGTATCTTGAACGCCATATTCGCGCCTTTCATCGTGGTATACTTGCTCATGTACTCGTTCTTCCGATATTTCGAAGTACTCTCTTTCTCCTCTTCTCATGGGGGGGCAGTCCTAATAACAGAAAACAGGAGTCTTATCACAACCCGTCTTCTATCAGCGGTCGCGCATACACCTCCTTTGGCCAGTGGAAGTTCCGGGAATTCAACGAACTTCCCCACCTTTTCGAGCGACGTCTCAAGGAGTCGTACCCTATTGCGAATATGTACATGAATCAGTTTCCCAACGAAAAACTTGCCCTTATCATGAGGTGGGAGGTTGTTGCCCATTCTTGATATGTCAATTGATCCTATAGCCAGATTTGCGGCATTCGTATCTGGCTCCTTTGCTGCCGTGCTTCTTCTCGCCACCGTCATCGACACGGACCTTTTCATCCACCTCGAAATTACTCCCCACCGCTCGGTCCTTTTCTACCTTTCTCTCTTTGGTGGTATTGTCGCAGTTGCCCGTGGCATGATCCCCGAAGAGAACAGAGTATTTGACTCGGAAGTGCTTATGAAAGCGATCGTTCAATACACTCACTACCTTCCGGACGAGTGGCGCGAACAGCTGCATTCCAAGACCGTCCACACTCAATTTGGCGAGCTTTTCGCGATGAAGCCGATGACTTTTGCTACCGAGCTCGCCAGCGTCGTGTTGACGCCGTTCATACTCTGGTTCGCATTGCCCCCGTGCGCACCAGCGATCGTCGACTTTTTCCGCGAGTTCACCGTCCACGTCGACGGACTCGGGTATGTCTGCAGCTTTGCCGTGTTTGACTTCCAGCGACACGGCAACGTCAAGGTCCGTACGATGCCCTTCGCGTCCCCTTCCCTTCCCTTCCGTCTCAGCGCCTAGTTAACCTCCGCACAGTTTGGAGCGCCGACGAAAGTGTCCGACGCGCGGCTTATGTCCAACGACGGAAAGATGGAAAAGTCCTTCGTGTCGTTCAAGGCTGCGCACCCAGAGTGGATGCCCACAGACCCGTCCGGCTCCCTGTACCTCTCGCGGATAGCAGACCTCTCCGCGCGGCGCACCGCCGACGACCACACGCCCCGCCCCAACCTGGGCGGCGTCCCGACAGACCGCGCGCTGGAGTACGAGCGGGCGCTGCACGAGTCGCAAACCGCGGCCGTGCGGCGACGCGGTGGTGGTGCCGGTGCCGGCGCGGGCCTCGGATTCGGCACGACGTCGATGTACCAGTCCGGGATGGCGCAGAGCGTGGCGCTGGGCGACTCTGATGGGTCGGTCGCGCCGCCACTTGCGGCGGCGGACTTGCGGCTGCCCCGTCTACCTCGCTCGTCTGCGGCGAACGCAGACGCGAGTGCGAGTGCCGATGCATTCAATGCCAATGCCACGTCGACGACTCCGAGCGGGAGTGCTGAGTTGGGTGGGGTGGATTCGGCGGGCGATGTGCGCAGTGCGCTGGGCGGGCCGTATGTGGATGGTGGGCGGAGGCACGTGGACCGGCGCAGTGTAGGCTCAAGGTCAATGCAGGAGGGAGAGGGAGAGGGGGAGGAAGAAGAGGAAGAGGAACTTGATGCGGACGGGGGCGTGCTTGGGCTGCTGGCGCAGATTTATAGCGGGACTGCTGGCGCCGGCGCGCGCGGCGTACTTTCATGAGTTTGGCTCGGGCGGGACGTCGTGCGTACACACGTACACAGTACTCCTGTCATGATGGCCTGCCGTTTTAGCAGCGTCGGCGTGCTGTTGGGACATGACATTCATGGGTGCTGTCCGATATACATGTCGAGAAAGGGTCGTGAGCGGGTAGAATTGGGTGCAATGGAGCGCGGCCTTGGGCCATGAAATAGAGTTACGATCTTCCAAACTTTAGGCAGATTCAATTCAGAGAACCTGGATCGTCTCCCGTACCCCGACGTTCTCATGACTTTGATATTTTTCTATGATAATAGAAACTCTGTGTAAAGACCGTGTCGAAAGAAAATTTGTCGTAATTAATGACACCACTAACGTGACTCACAGATTACCGTACTATACTCCCATCATCGACTTCAACGACTTTGCACAAGAACATGATAGAAGATTTACGATACACGTTTCGAGACGTTATAGGAGTGAAAGCACAGCAGGGGGGAATATGTGCTGGATGAGAGTAACGGGTATATCATGTCCGTGTGTGCAAGCATGGTCATAGCATCCGAAGCATATTAGGGTGTCCTTCCTCAAAGGTCAACGCAGAATCGGACGGGAAGGGACCGGCCGCGGTGCCCGAACACTTAAGCCCGAGCTAGCCCGCGCGCGACCGAGAACTTGTGCCCGTCTCAGCTCCTCGTCGATCCGCGCCATCCCACGAGCAAAAGCGTCGCGATCGAGAGAGCCGGTACCATCCCTGTCGCACTCATTCCTACAAGCATGCAAAAACGGTTTAATGCCACCGAAACGATATATTTGGACAGGACGAATGGAACGACGATACGCACCAGATATCCCATAGACGCTCCGACTCGAGCCTCGACTTCAGCCATATCTCGCGCACCACGCGTCCGTCCAACTTGGCGTCGCTCCCGGATTCGGATACAGGCAACGCAGACACGGGCGCGTTCCCTGCACCCGAGTCGATGTCAATCGACAGCCCGCGCCATCCTGCGTTCTGGCGCTTCCCGGGCGTCGGGGGTGACGGTTTAGGTGTATGCGCGCGCACGTTGGCGAGGAAGAGCACGTCGTACCGGGCGCGCGAGGCGAGTGCCTGCTTCGCTCCTGCTGGCGCGGGCGCGGGCGCAGACGCCATGGCGGAAGCGCGAGAGGAGGTGGACGTGCGGGAGGTCGCGGTGCTCTGTGAGAAGAGGGAGGAGCGGTCCGAGCCGGTCGTTGCGGTCGACTGGACGGATGTGCGCGAGCGTGGGGGTGGGGATGGGAATGCGGCGGCGGCAGGGGGGATGGGTGGTGGGGGTGCGGGGCGACGAGTGCTCAAGAGGGAGGGGGGGGAGCTGCTGGAGGAGGGAATGCGTGTTAGGGCGGGTGAGGACACACCGGATAGGATGGGCGAGGGAGACGAGCCCTGCGA